GGATCAGGTAGCCGAATCCAGGGTTCACCTCTTTGTAGCCGCTTTTTTGATTTTCAGCCTGGCTTCCCATCTACGAGCCAGCCTAATGACACCCATGGCACTGATCCGTGGCTGCCCCGCCTAGACGTGACCCCCGGCAACACTTCGGAGCGCAGAGAAGAATTAAGACCACACACTCATGCATGTCCAATCTAAATTTTTAATTCCACTCAACGACTGCCTCCAATGCTCGAGTGCACATCCGAACATGGGCCTCCCAACGATTGGGGCCACAAGAACCAAAAGTACAGCGTGCCAATCAGAAGGAAATCTCTGTGTGCGTGTCAGGCCTTCTGCCACGATGCGGGCGGTACAGAAACACTGCAGAAAAAGTTGTTGCACCAAAACTATCATGCCATGTCTATGCGCAGCCATGTTCTGATTGACATTATATAAAGACTTTAAAATACCGCCCTTTGTTTGACTCAACCGTCTCAAGCTTCAAGGTCGAGCCAAGAAAAGCACTGAATCTGACCTCGAATGCAACCTCAGCCTAGCTAAACATGAGTCCAAGCTTTATATCCAGGCCCACTCTTGGTGTGCTTTTGTGGCAGTAGCACAAATCAAAACTGGTACGTAGCGTCAACGACTGACCCTTGTTTCCTTTGGTGTAGTATACCACCTTCAAAAACAGCGCAGCTTGCGATGAAAACACACATAATGATGTGCAAGACATGCTCCTGGGCAAACAACCGATGAAAGTACACATCGGAAACACATCTCTCATATAAGCGGTGACTAAAACTATTTCACCGATTCGCGCCATACATGGAAAAATGCACATTTAACAGCAACAAACGCATGTGTTTGTGTGCACGCGTCCGCGCGCGTGTGTGTGCGCGCACGTTTTTTTAAAGCGACTGCGGTGGCAATTGTGTCATCGCCAGCTTGCGCAATTAATTTCCCCACTGGTATGCATGTCCCTTAAACATAGCGCGAAAAGTCCATCCAAACCGCTTATATTTGCGTCACACATGGCTGAGAGGTGACCTTTCTTGAGCAGTGGCAACAATTCAAAAAGTTGCCACTGAAGAATCGCACAGTTATACTTTTTCAAACTTACGCCCCTTTCCACTGTATACACTTATTCTTGCCACTGAGGATCCCCAGGGTTGTCTCCCTTGCGTGTATCTGCCGGCTGCTTCTCTCCTCGGCGCTTCTCTGTGCTCCTTCCCCGGTGCTCTGGCTTGTCTTCTTTCCTGTCCTTCTTGGAGTGTTTCTCCTTGGAGCGCCCTTTGTGTTCCTTCTCGGAGCGTTTGTGCTTCGAGTGACGGTGGCTGTCCCTCGAACGCCTCTTGTCGGCCTTTTTTGTCTCTTTTCTCTTCCTCAGCCTCCTCGTGCTCTGCTTCTGGAGAACGAGCCTTCAAGACAGGTCTGTCGGCCTCCTCCGACTCACTGCCTTCTTCGTACTCGCTCGCGTCCTCGGACTCGCTCTTCTCGTCGCTCGCGGTCATCACCTGCCAGCGGGCGGCGCTCTATATATATATACTAGGGGCTGATGACATAGGAATAGGCTCAAATTATGACATAGGAAGATCCCTAGGGGTAGTCCTAAGTCATCAGCCACTAGCAAAGTAGGTGAACGTACCAAACTGAAGGATGACATAGGGTGTGTGAGCATCGTGCCAGCCAGTTTACCTTAAAAAAAACATGAAATAAAGCACCTGCCCAAGGTGAATACATCACCAGAAAATGCTCAATGACTTAGTCCAGCGCCTTGTTTGTTTCCCAACGCCTGAGCTATGTCATGTGGCTTCTTGCCACCCACGTTGTTCTTCTCAAACACATCTGGCTTTTTGCCATTCCTAAATCTTGTAAGCCATGCGGCTTAATGATCGGTTTGGCTTGTGAATGCCAACCATGTATAAATCTAAATTCTGAGTCATGCATTGGTCAAGAACCTGCTTTGGAACGCAAAGTGTTTCAATAGTCATAGCAATTAATATATATATATAATATATAGGTATACACGACATAAGCAAATGGGTCATAGGAAGATGGAACGCGTATCACAGGGATGTAGTAGTTATACGTGACATAGGAACACGGGGCTGCATGAACAAATTGCTCTTGACCATGGTTTGTGGCCTGGTGATCCGCTGTGCTGGTCAGTCGAACTTTGGTCAAGACCATGAACTGATTGACAAAGGAGGTTTATAGGGAAACAACAACAGTTGACAACACTTCATGACATAGGCTGAAGGTGTTTTATCACACTCGGGTCTTGACCATCATTCACAAAAAAGGCCTTCAAGTCGTTCATCTGGGCTTCCCAGATATCTGCATTAGAACAAACACTCGTCTCTAAATGAAGCCTGATGATGTGCCTAAGGCACATCACAAGGCAGCGCAAAGGACTGCGGGACACGGAGTATGTCGCCGTCATGATGGGGTGGCCTGGGTACCGGGCACTCCAAAAGTTTCCAGCAGGGTGGCGGTTCACGCCACAACCTTCAACATCGGGCAAGACAAGGAGGTGGTTACCAGCATCCTGCAAATGCAACCACTCAGGAGAGAGGTGGTATCTCTTGATGCGATTCGCTGCACCGGGATTGATTCCGGCTGGCAGCTCTGGAGCGGGAACAGGCTCCTCATGTTCAATCTCAGCTGCATCACCATCATATTCCTCAAGACCTTCTGAATCTGAAGTGGACTCATCAAGTTCTTGTTCCTCAATGCATGCAGGTTCCACATCTGGAGGTGCCATGAGGCCATCACCGGTATCTTGAGGATCTGTATCGGTCTCATCCTCATCACCTTCTTTATGACCTTCTTCCTCAACAGAGCTGGCATCATCTCCTCGTGGCAAACGACAACAAATGACACTCAATTCCTATCTCATCCACCACACAATGTATCATTGAGATCTTGTTAGAAATACATATATATATATATATATATATGTGTTTATAACTACTGTATTAAATCTGTTTATAACATGTGCCTTGAAGGCCTATGTCCTATGTCATGTGCACCTGGCTACACACTGCAAGCTGGTCCTGCATAATTCTCGCGAAGCTGGTCAAAACCGCCACGCTCTTGGCCAGAAGACTTCACACAACAAATGGCTTTCTTTTCGAACTTGAGGCTCGACAAATAGTAGGTGCCCGGCCCTGACGGTTCCTCACCGTCAAGTTCGAAGTGAACCCTGAGAATTTCGTGTCCAGCGCCCTTGCTTGTGAATTCCACCTTGCCGTTGATCCGCGTCGTGGAACGCTTCAAGAAGGCAGTTGAAGCTAGGCATCCATGGCGGACATTGTAGACGATGGACCCGATTCTCTGGTTTGCATCTTCTAGCTTCTTCTTCCAGCCAGATGGTTTCTTTGTGTGGAGAATCTGGCGCTCGCGGCGGTGCTGGCAAACCAGTTTCTCAACTGAAGTTGCAATGATACTTGGCAGTGCTGCTGCCTTTCCGTCTTCCATCCGCAGCGCCCAGTACCACCTGTCAACTTTCAAACCTATGAC